TGGGTTAAAATTAGAGTTGGGCTACTTGAGATACTCTAGCTTGACCCAATATTGTATGGTAGAGCTTGGGAGCCCAATAGATTATGTTGGGGCCCGGTTTGTCATGATTAAGTGGGATATGAGCAGTACAAATGCTATGGACCTACTCGTCTTGATAACAACATCAACATCCCAGATCCTATTATTTCTCTAAGGTTTAATGTCCTCTTTGGCCCCTCTACTATAGGAAAAAGCTCTTTTTTAGTCTCTATATCAAAAAAATCTCCTTTTTGATCCTTACTGTTCACAAATCCGGCCCTTTTTTAGTCCTTCCGTTAAATTTTGGCTGATGTAGCAGGTTAATTAACGGAAAAACTCTTTTTTTTTTTTACCATTTTACTAAATTACGTAGAAAATCCATCTGGTAGAAATGGATGACGTGGTTAAATTTTTTACATTTAATTACTGATTTACCTTCATCTTCTTCCCCATCCTCTCCTTCCTCCGACCTTTTTTTTTTCTTTTACCTCCAGGCGAACCCAAGAGCTTGGGTTTGCGAGGAACCCAGGAGCCTGGGTTTGCGAGGAACCCAGGAGCCTGGGTTCGCGAGGAACCTAGCTCGTGGGTTCTTGACGAACCTAGGAGCCTGTGTTCGCGAGGAACCCAGCTCGCGAGTTCCTGACGAACCCAGCTCGCGGGTTCGCAATGAACCCAGGTGCCTGGGTTCGTCGTGGGTTCCTAGGTTCGCGATGAACCCAGACTCCTGGGTTTCAGATCCTCGATTTCGAACTTCTCGTTTCCTTCTGGTGGGATGAGATCAACGACTCTACTCAGTGGCAAGACGGTATCTTCTACGCTCTCTGTGCCGCTTATGCCCTTGTCTCTTCTGTTGCTCTGGTCAGTCCCGCTTTCCTCTTATCTGTTCGTTCTCATGTCTTTCGTTTTTCTGTAAGCTCGTGTTCTGGATCAGTGGGGAAGACATAGTAGTTGATTGGTTTCGATATGGATGGATTTGGTTTGGAATGATAATGACATTGTAATTGTAGTGAAATTTTCCAGTTACTGCTGATTGTTTGGAATTTAATAATGTGCTTTTCATCTCATCCAAGTGATCGGAGGATGGGTGTGATCGGTTTGATTTTCCAATTAAGGACATTGACATTGAGTGCTGGAATTTCAGATCCTCAATTTTCAATTTCCTGAATTTTTTGCTGCTCTTGGTTCATTTTTTGATTCTGTTGCTGGATGTTTCTGGAGTTGTTTGTTTCAGAAGAACATGCTTTCTTTTTTTTGGCAGAGATTGAGAACCTCGCTCGTGCCTGGGTTTGTCACGAACCCAGGTGCGAGCTGGGTTCGTCGCCAACCCAGTTGCGCGAGCTGGGTTCATCTTGGGTTTGCAAAGAACCTAAGACAAACCCACCCAGGCATGCTTTGGGTTCGTCGTGAACCCAGGATGAACCCAGACACAATGAACCCAAGTCATGCCTTTTCCTATAGTAGACAAAAAAAAAAAAGAAAAAGAAATCCTGACATGAATTAAAAAATATGTCCACATCATTTTTTTTTCACAAAATAGATTTTACACATTATACAATTTCGTTAATTGACTGTCACTTGTCAAAAAATTTAACGGAAGGACTAAAAAAGGGCCGAATTTGTGAACAGTAAGGACCAAAAAAGGGATTTTTTCGGTACAATGACTAAAAATGAGCTTTTTCCTATAGTAGAGGGACCAAAAAAGGTATTAAACCTTTCTCCAATTTCCCCTTACCCATTATATCTTCGAGGAAAGGAAACAACCCTTCCAAGTGTGAATCACAAAACAAATTCTTATTCAAAATTCAGTCTCCCAGTTTTAGAAATATCTATTCTTTTGGTAAAAATTAAAATTAAATCTAACTTAGTATTCTGAAAAGTGTTTATTTTTTAAAATAGTTATTTTCAGCATTTTAATAAGTTAAAACACAATATGTAGGGTGAAGTTAATGGATATTTTCTGCAAGAAAAACATCCATAATTCAAATATTACCACTTAGAGATATATTATTCTATATTTACTTGAAACACCCAAAAAATGAGTAAATCTAACAAGAATGAAGACTTTTTCACTAATAAAATCATCATTTACCTGCAAAAAAACTTTGATATTTCACTTTATAATCAACACTCTAAACAAAACATAATGAAATCAAGATTGAAGATAGAGATGGCAAGAAAGTGTACCTTCTCCTTTAGTCTTAGAAGATAAAATTGAAGAAACGAAGTTGGAAATTAATTAACCAAATTAGCTAGGTCAGGCAAATTATCAAAGAAAACATAAACAGAATCAAAGATTGATGAAGATCTAAATGGATAGTGTATACCTAGAGGTTTAGAAAGAAGTGGACACTGATAACTAACTTAGACCAAGCAAAACAAATTACTAGAAGTAGCAGCAGGTTCAGTTTGTGTATACATATTCTAAAGAGAACATACATATAACCATAACAAAATCGAGATTGAAGACCTAAATAGCAAGAGAGTGTACCTGCAGCTAGCAGAAAGGAAGTTGGACAGTGATGACAAAGCTGATTCAATTAGAAGTATCAATTGCAAGACTGATTCTTTCTGATTCCGATGAGAGAAGTTGATGGAGCCAATCATGGAGAAGGAAGAACTTAAAGTAGAGGGTAAGTCAATGAGAAAGTTAAGAGGATGTTTCCAGGAATGAAGGTGCGTGGCAATTAGCAACCACTCAATTGTGGTTGTGGATGAGGAAGTGCAGTCATCATCAAGAAATGTCGTCCTTTAATCCAAAAATAGTATATAAAATTACATAATTACCTTCGCGCAACCCTCTCAATTCTTCATCTTTGATCCCCCATCTCTCCCCAGCGTCTCTCTTCCATACTTTCTTCTTCTTCTCAAATAGAGTTGTGAAAAATCTCTACGAAATAATAACCCATGAGAAATTTGTGTTAATTGTTGAAGCCAAACAGAGCTGGGTAAGCAATTCGGTCCGGCCGTTAAGGGCATTGACGTTGGCATTGGCTTCCATGGCAGCCGCTATCATAGTTGAGGCCAAGAAGCAAGAGAAACCGAGAATCACTCGTGGGTATCAAACCCGGACCTGTAGATAGAGTGAGAGAGAACCGACCCAAGGGACCAGATCTGAAAACCAGGGCATGGATTGAGAGGGAAAATCGAGAAAACGTGAGAAGATTCGAAGGAGAGAGGAGGCTGGGTTCAGAACGAGTCCCCTAGCCCCATGAATACAGGAACAGAGAGAAGGAAAAAGATTACAATCGAGAGAAAAAGAGAAGAATCAAGAGCTTTTGGAAGAGAGAGGAGAGCACGCAGTGGGAATTTGAGAGGGATAACTTTCAATCAAATGATAATCTGATAACTTTCCCTGAAAGTTTTGCAGTGGACTTGAAGTGTGTCTCTGATTCGTCAAGTGCTTTTAAGTCTACTGAAATGATGAGTTCAATGATATCCTCTGAGAAAAGCATGGTAGACTTAGTTGATTTCAAGGGCATGTCCTCAAAGGAATCCTTTTTGGTTGAGAATTCAAATGAAAACTCATCTGATACTGTATCTTTGCGTAGCCCTGATGATTTGGCTCTATTTTTTTT